GGTGGGCAGAGCACGGATAGCCCATTGTGTAGCTTTGTGCTTAACTTCAAACGAACAAACAAATAACGTGTTTTGGATGAGATTTATAACCATCATATGTCGCTCTGCGGGCTTCCTCTTAAGTACTAAAATATTCCTGATTTTTTCCCTTAGTACTTGCTAAGTGATACATTTTTATATTGTGCAAATAAGTATAATAAATAAATAGTTATTTATCAAAAATACACAAAACACATATCGTTTGGACTGGTAATACAGGGGGGAACGAATCATGGGTAGAATGTATTATTTCCCATCCGTAGATATACTAAGGCTGTTATACCGTAGTCTAAAGGATTTACCAGAATCGTAAATGCATGCTTTTGTAAAAAACCTCACAGAGTGTATATGCAAACAACGTAGTGTGGTAGATATCTTCTTATTTCACACATTTTTATGTGAAAAAAAAACCAGTACATCCCTTTATAATGTTTGACCTTGGAATGAGAAATAACAGCCAAATGTTTCGATATATTGGCTGGACGTAACATGACATGCCGTAAACGTTTGATTAAGTTATTGGAAGGGGTATTTCTCAAATTCTTAGCTAATTTGAACTAAAACTTTAATAATTATACCACTGCTGTTTGATATATTTTGAAATAAGCAGGAAATATTTATTTGTTGCTAGCATTTATATATTCTTAACTAGTTTTACACCAGTACCCTAACTCCAATGCACCTAAGGAAAGCCAAGTTGATGTTCTTCTACGTAAGGTATCCCAGCTCTGCTGTTCTAAAGCTTTTTTTCCCAGACATCAAGTTCAACAAGAACAACACAGCTCAGCTGGTCAAGTGGTTCTCTAACTTCCGGTACGTTTGAAATTACTATTACCGCCATGGTTAAAATAACATTGTTCTATGAATATGTTCTGAAAATTATTATAAAAGTGAAAAATTAGCATTTTTTTGTGGTCAGAGAAAATTATTTAAGACAAGTAATTAAACCTTTTGGAATTCAAATAATACTGGTACATTCTTTTAAATTATTCTTAATGTAGATAAAACTTTAGACATTTTTACATTAAAAAGTGTTGGTTGAATACAAAACTATTAAAATAGCGTATTTAAATATTTGTTTATCGTGTTCTAAAACACTCTTTAGCCAAATTTATATACATATATATTAAAAACTATAACAGTTTAATGATGGTATAGTCCCTCACTTATCAAGTGTGTATTTCATATCAAGTCCTATCTGGTAATGTTTTATTTTCTATGAATGTTTGTTTCTTCCCAAAGTTAACTATATCTCGTGGTTAATGAATTATATAAATTATGTAATGGTGGAAACACCAGAAGAATTAGTCTTGCCACCAAAAAGTTGCCAGTGTAATTTCACAACCTGATAAGCCGCTATCCGTACTTTAGGGCAGTGGGTGCGCTATGAGACTTAATGTCAAATACGTACAACGAATCTAAACTCACTGGGTTCTGGTGCACCGTAGACTGTGTTTGCATGCAGGATGCAGGGAAGGGGAAGGCATAAGTTCTTATACAAATTGTTTGAATTTCATGTTTTAATAAATGGAAATTTGTTCGGACTGGTTTAATAATTATGAAATTTTCAGCTTAGCTAATTCTCTATATATATAATTATTTCTAAACCCTGAGAAATATAAAATATATTAGCGCCTTCTAAGCCAACCACAGGCAAACACGTGGAAAATTGCTTTCCATATCTTAATGACGTAATTTTTCATACGGCAGGTGGACCCCAAGTACCAATGGAAATTTGACCAATGTGAATAATAACGATAGCAATCCTGCGTTGTTGGAATATAATGTTCACTGTATCACTTAGTTGAATTATTCTTATCTAATTAGCTAAAACGATTGTATGGATACGTGAAAACGCTAGAGATGATAGCATAACCTCGTCATTCTAAAGTAGCATGTGTCGACATTCGGCGCGGATTTATGCGACAAAGGGACGCGAACCATGAATCCTCGGATCCACAGCCGACGTTAATTACTTCTGTTTATTCGAACCCAAAGTTTTCCAACTTAAGGCTGTGTAGCAACAACACCTCAAACCTATGGTGACATAATGTGTAGAGTGTTCATGGATGGGGTTTAAGAAATTGATCTAGAAATTCTATAGATAAGACATTTAATAGGTGAAACACTAATCAGGGACAGCTTTGCTAGTTTTAACGTAATATATCTCTCGTGGTTTGGCTTTAATTTACAATATTCAGACTATCCCTTGGGGGAAAAAAAAGAAACTTTGGACTGTAAGAAATGTTTTGGTTTCTCATAGCAATTGTATTTTTTACTTTAACCCTCATTGTATTTATTTGTTTATAAGCTGTTCGATCAAATCCACATATTGCATCATATTGTTTACTTTATTTTTGTGTCTGTTACAACACTTAGTATCAAAAAACAAACTAATAAACTAGGTAAAATAACTCATTTTCTGTGTGAAATACTTTGGAGGTCAGTAATTAGCGGGATTACTTCCAATATTGGTAGTATTTTTAATTTTTTAGTCTCGCTCATATGTTAATATGGACCCTTTAACCAATAAATTCATGATCACACGGGTAATTTAATACATTAATAGTATAAACAAATTGTTTAAAAGGTCAGTGGGTCCAGCAGTATTTGTAGGGTATACTCAAACTACCTTTGCCAAGTTTGGTTCAGAATGCAGGAATACCACAGACATTTTTTACAAAGTAAAGTTATTGTGAAGGAACAGAATACGGTTTCAAGATTAAATAAAACACTCCGTGTGCTTTATGCAACTAAAGGGTGAACGCATTCATATAATGAGAACGTGTTTGCTTAGTATAGTGACTCGGGTTTTTATGCTCATCACAGTTTGTAAACGGTAGAACTGTCCCCACTTAAGCTAGGTTTCAACGAAGGGGCTTCTGTCGTGCTAATCACAGTTTGTAAGGCGGTAGAATTGTATCCATTTAAGCTGGGTTTCAACGAAGGAGCTTACTGTCGTGCTAATCACAGTTTGTCTTACTTAACGAATACGTCGTATAAAAATACTCTAGAACTATCTATGGTATGAATATATTGTGTAATATACTGATGATCTGTCTGTCATCCCGATGGATTAGCGGCAAGTTTAAGGACTTACAATGTTAAACATCCGGCCAGAGGGCAGGTAGTCCATTGTATAGCTTTGTGCTAAAAAACAAACAAACTGACAGTCTATAATAGTAGCGCGACCTTATACAGGTGGCTCATTGTAAAGATATCGTATATGAATATTGTATTACAATACGACATTGTTGGGACGTATGTATAAATACAGAGAAAGGCAAAACTTCTAATGTACATTAGATATTAAGAAAGTTATATTCTAAAATAAGAAAAATATTTTTGTTAGTTTTATGTAATTCTCATCTATCAAAACAAAAATGTCTTATTATATAACTATGAATTTCAATAAAATTTAAATTTTACGTAACAAATACATGCCCCTGTTATGCCTACTTGCCTGTTAGACATCGTTGCCAAACAGGGATGCTCTCGTAATCTATCTATCTGTCTGTCTGTCTTTCTCGTGACCTAGATGCTTTTGTCAACTAAGGAATGATATTGATTTCAATCTCCAGTTTACCTGTGAAATGAATACTAAACAGCCGCCATTTTTGGTTATTTTAGTTTTTTATCTCTGGAGTTAAATATTTAAGCACTGTAATTAATTCAACCTTCCAAATCTCATAAATACTTAGAAATTCCCAGTAATCGTACCAAACATACCAGCCCAATATCCCTAACAATTCAGCTAAAAATGTTGTATATTTTGGTGTTTACTCGAATTGGAAAGGAAAAGAAGATCAGAAGAACAAGGAAACTGTTTAAAGAACATTCAAGACCTTAAAATCTAATTGCATGGGAAAAGGGAGAGAATCCCCCCCCCCCGACTATCCCTGATTATTGGAAGTAGGGAGATAAAGAAGCCATGAAAATTTCCCCTCATCTGTTTATGTTGTTGTCTGTAATTCACGAGGTATCGCTCTTTCCAGTATGTCAAATAATCTTATGTCAATTATATTCTGTCTGTACTCAGTATAAAAAAAAAACACATTGGAAACATTTCATAGAAACGTAGGCGTCAGACATCTGTTGTGAAACTACCACATTGCTGTTGTTAATATTATACAAACGGAAGGTGGAGCGTATCTTCATCTATATGTGAAGCATACTTTATATTCATATACCTTGTACTTCCTTTATTTATTTAATGTAGCAGACCCGAGACAAAAATTAAAAGCTGCAGATTTATACATATGTTGTTAGTATTCCGGAAACAGTTTTATATAATAAAAAATAAAAAGGATTAAAGGTTTCCGGTGATGGCGTGAGCTCTTTTAATCTCGAGGGAGTTTAATCTTAATGAGCGAGGGGCTGATCTAGTTTGAGCGGATGCCTTTTCTGTAACAGCCGGCCGACCGTGAAGACACAGCCGTAGCAGACATGCGGGCCTCATCTAGGGTAACTTTTGTTTGCGAGGTAAGCGAACAAACGGATACCGTACTGCTGTCAGCCTATAAACTTTGGATATGCTCCAGTAGACGGCGTCAGCACGTGCTTCCTTTCTTGCTATTTTGAATTGAATAAAATTTTACGTTTTTCTTAATAGAACAGCAGTTTATCTAAATTGATATTTGGATAAATAGGACGAAATAGAGAGAAAAATTTTTATGTGAAATTGTCTAAAACTACGATTGAAGCGAATATTTCAGCGCACAGAGAAGTGTTATTTAATAGAAAGGTATAGCGTATACAGAAATAGAAAAAACATGCCCTAGTGAAATAGTGCAGTAAAATGACTATAGTTGCAAAGCACTGATAAAAGGTATCAGATGTTATTAAAGAGCATAGTTCACCCACTTCTGTGCTTTTCTAGCATCCCGGATACTCATTTCATAGTTAATTCAACAACGGCTGTTGATAACAGATTTTTACTTTACTATGTCATGTTGGTGAATAAGTTTACTGATATGCTAAACACGGTTTGTCAAAAGGTAGAATTGTCCCCACTTAAGTTACAGGTTTCGGCGAAGGAGTTTATTGGCATGCTAATCATAGTTTGTCAAAAGTTAGAACTGTCGCCACTTATGCTCGGTTTCAACGAAGGAGTTTACTGACTTTCTCATCACAGTTTGTCATAAGTAGAATTGCCACACTTAAGCTAGGTTTCAACGAAGGAGTTTACTGACTTTCTCATCACAGTTTGTCATAAGTAGAATTGCCACACTTAAGCTAGGTTTCAACGAAGGAGTTTACTGACTTTCTCATCACAGTTTGTCATAAGTAGAATTGCCACACTTAAGCTTGGTTTCAACGAAGGAGTTTACTGGTGTGCTAATCACAGTTTGTCAAAAACTTGTTCCTACTTAGTTTATAGGTTTCTACGACGGAATTTACTGTCGTGCTAATCACAGTTTGTCAAAATAATTGTTCCTGGTTAGTTTATAGGTTTCAACGACGAAACCTATAAACTAAGCAGGAACAATTCTTTTGACAAACTGTGATTAGCACGCCAGTAAATTCCGTCGTAGAAACCTATAAACTAAGCAGGAACAATTCTTTTGACAAACTGTGATTAGCACGCCAGTAAATTCCATCGTTGAAACCTATAAACTAAGCAGGAACAATTATTTTGACAAACTGTGATTAGCACGACAGTAAATTCCGTCGTAGAAACCTATAAACTAAGCAGGAACAAGTTTTTGACAAACTGTGATTAGCACGACAGTAAATTCCGTCGTTGAAACCTATAAACTAAGCAGGAACAATTATTTTGACAAACTGTGATTAGCACGCCAGTAAATTCCAAC